GAGAGAGTTTTATATAGTTTAAGTATGTTGACGGTATGATTTTAGTTTATTAAAGAGTTGTTGTTAATGATTTACATGTATGTTTAATTAGCTACTTTACATACATAGTTGTTCTCTTATTCGAGAGAAGAGGGAGCAATGAAATCCTCTTTAATACTCTAGTTCCATAGCAAGGAGACTTGAAAGACAATAGAAGGGTTAGGAATAATTCTTCTCTTACGGCCTTGTTAATAGAAATTACAACGATTACGATTAAGAAAATAATTACCATTCATGACGCTCGGTAGTGGGCTTGAGAATCTATTAAAAGGAATTAAAATTTACCACAAAACTCAACAACTTATCTATTTAATCTCTCTGAGCCGAACCTTCATTATAGTTGATTTTCTCGTGGAACTAAAATCTACCACAAAACTCAACAACTTATCTATTTAATCTCTCTGAGCCGAACCTTCATTATAGTTGATTTTCTCATCATTTACAACGATTATGGAAATAATTACCATTCATGACCCTCGGTTTAATCTCTGCCCTTCATTATAGTTGATTTTCTCATCATTTACAACGATTATGGAAATAATTACCATTCATGACCCTCGATTTAATCTCTCTCAGCCGAACCTTCATTATAGTTGATTTTCTCATCATTTACAACGATTATGGAAATAATTACCATTCATGACCCTCGATTTAATCTCTCTGAGCCGAACCTTCATTATAGTTGATTTTCTCATCATTTACAATGATTATGAAAATAATTACCATTCATGACCCTCGGTTTAATCTCTCTGAGCCCTTCATTATAGTTGATTTTCTCATCATTTACAACGATTATGGAAATAATTACCATTCATGATCCTCGATTTAATCTCTCTGAGCCGAACCTTCATTATAGTTGATTTTCTCATCATTTACAACGATTATGGAAATAATTATCATTCATGACCCTCGGTAATGGGCTTGAGAATCTATTAAAAGGAACTAAAATTTACCACAAAACTCAACAACTTATCTATTTAATCTCTTTGAGCCGAACCTTCATTAGAGTTGATTTTCTCATCATTTTCTCATTATAGTTGATTTTCTCATCATTTTCTGTTGAACCTTCATTAGAGTTGATTTTCTCATCTCTGTTGAACCTTCATTATAGTTGATTTTCTCATCATTCTCGAACCTTCATTATAGTTGATTTTCTCATCATTTTCGAACCTTCATTATAGTTGATTTTCTCATCATTTTCTGTTGAACTAGTTGATTTTCTCATCATTCATTCTCGAACCTTCATTATAGTTGATTTTCTCATCATTGATTTTCTCATCATTTTCTGTTTTTCGACAGTAGTGACACTCTGTTTTAGTTTTGTTTAAATAGTTAAAATCTCATTCACACGCTGCTCCACATCACCGAGATCCGGATTACTTTAGTGGAATTGAACATAGTTTATAATATAAGATTAAAATTAGAAAATAGTAAAAATAACCCAACATGAATGAAATGAATCAAACACACACAACCTTCTGATCTGGAGTCAGACTCGATTCGACGGCTCGTCAATAGATCACAAATTTTGAAAAATTGAGCCCAACGTAAATCGAAAACGCAACCTTCGGATCCCATGATATTTAATTCGACGGCTCGTAAACAGATGACGGATAAATTGAACCCAACGTGAATCAAACACGCAACCCATTGCCTCGTCAACAGATCACAGATTTAAAAAGTGTCATATATACACTGCTACGATTAACCCAACGTGAATCAAACACGCAACCCATTGCCTCGTCAACAGATCACAGATTTAAAAAGTGTCATATATACACTGCTACGATTAACCCAACGTGAATCAAACACGCAACCCATTGCCTCGTCAACAGATCACAGATTTAAAAAGTGTCATATATACACTGCTACGATTAACCTAACGTGAATCGAACACGCAACCTCGCAACCTTCTGATCGTCATACATACACTGCTACGATTAACCCAACGTGAATCGAACACGCAACCTCGCAACCTTCTGATCGTCATACATACACTGCTACGATTAACCCAACGTGAATCGAACACGCAACCTCGCAACCTTCTGATCGTCATACATACACTTCTACGATTAAAATTAGCAAATAGTAAATTGAACCCAACGTGATTCGAACACGCAACCTTTTGATCTGGAGTCAGACGCGCTACCATTGCGCCATGGATCCCATGATATTTAATTCAATGGCTCGTCAACAGGTCACAGATTTTGAAACTGTCATACACACACTGCTCCGCTAGAGGTAGACGCGCTACCACTGCGCTATGGATCCCATGATATTTATTGGAACGGCTCCTTAACAAATCACAGATTTTGAAAGTGTCTGGATTGTTTCAGTGGAATTGAACATAGTTTATAATGTAAGACTAAAATTAGTCAATAGTAAATTGAACCCAAGGTGAATCAAACACACAACCTAAAAATTAGTCAATAGTAAATTGAACCCAAAGTGAATCAAACACACAACCTTCTGATCTTGAGTCAGACGTGCTACCTTTGCGTCATGGATCCCATAATATTTAATGGAACGGCTCCTCAACAACACATCACAGGTTTTGAAAGTGTCATTCACACACTGCTCCACATCACTCGGATTGCTTTAGTGGAATTGAACCTTTTGATGTGGAGTTAGATGCGCTACCATTGCACTATGGATCCCATGATATATAATGAAACGACTCCTCAATAGATGTGGAGTTAGATGCGCTACCATTGCTCTATGGATCCCATGATATATGATATGGAGTTAGATGCGCTACCATTGCACTATGGATCCCATGATATATAATGAAACGACTCCTCAATAGATGTGGAGTTAGATGCGCTACCATTGCTCTATGGATCCCATGATATATGATGTGGAGTTAGATGCGCTACCACGCTACCATTGCACTATAGATCCCATGCTATATAATGAAACAACTTTTCCACATCACCTGATTGCTTTAGTGGTAGCAACATTAATGAAATTGAACATGAACATAGTTTATAATATAAGATTTTAAAATTATCCTATAATAAATTAAACCCAACATAAATCAAACACACAACCTTTTGATTTAAAGTCAAACATACTACCATTGCATCATAAATCCCTTTATTTTTAATAAAAGGGCTCCTCCATACATCACAGATTTTAGACCAATAGCAAATTGAATCCAACATGAATCGAACACGCAACTTCTAATATGCAGTCAGATACGCTACCGTTGCACCATGGATCTCTTGATTTTTAGTGGAAGGGCTCCTCAGTACATCACAGATATTGCAGGTGCAATTCACACACTATTCCACACAGTAACACCACAAATCTTACGGGTGCCCGTAACATCACAGATCTATCTTTAAGGTCACCAAAATACTCGACAGAGGTAATGATATGCATGAATCTCTAGAGAACGACTCTAAAGATTTTTACAATGGAGATCTCTTCCACCTTTTTGTCTAACGAATGAATGTTAGTGATGATAATTGTCAAATTCATGGCAAAGTCGTCTACCGATTCACATTTCTTTTTGCGGATATTCTCGAAATGGCTCTTCAAACTTTGCACTTTTGTTTTCTTGAACCCACACCTACATTCATTGTTTGTAGCATCTCTCATGTTGTCTTTGTCTATTCCTTCTTTTTCGATATGAGAAGGAAGTTCTCCAGGATTGCTAAGAGTCATCTTGTCGTTATACTTCTAGATGTCGTTACCATGCTTGATGGTGTCCTACACGCCTTGTGTTTGTAGAATAACATACATATTTATCGACCATGCTGCATAGTTACTCTTTGTGGGTAACTCCTAGTGGAGCATTACACTCTCCTCCTTTCTGCTTTTTATTGTTGTCACATCTTTTCCGATGACATTTTTGTAGCAACAAAATTTGTTTCGGTATCCTAGCATTGATACTAGATGTTGGTTTTGACCCTTGATCAAAGTAGACCGAAAAAGAATAATTTGAGGAAAAAGTTTTTTTTTTTTTTTTTTTTAAGTGAAAAACCTTAATCACTCTACTTTTCGATTATTTTTTGTTGTTGTGAAGAGAGCTTACATCGGGAGAGAAAACATTAACAGTTCTACTAAGCTTACTCCACCGACAATTCTCCTCAAGATGTTTCACAAATAATTTCTTTTATTAAGTTAAGCTTATGTCACAGAAATCTCATGATGAACCATCCGCTCACTCAAAGAACTAACCACTGGACCTTTGACTGAAATTTGAGAAAAAATTAACCTACGAACGATCATGAAACCGACATCAAACGCTTGACCTTGTGAAAATGACTCGAATTTTGTTTAAGTGGATGATTGAGAAACTTCGAATTAAAAAAAAAAAGATTTAATATCTAACTAGAGGAGTGAAAATTTGTGATACTTCAAAAAGAGTACACATGTACTGAAACCACATTGGAATGAGAGTGATCGTGAATTAAAAAATGCTTATAAGAATTAGTTTAAGTAGATAAAGAAATTTTGTTTAATGTTTAAAAGAAAAGAGACTTCGAATGAAAATTTGTGACATCCAAGTAAAGGAGAGACAAATGAATGAACTAAGACCATATTTGAATGAAAACGATCACAAAGATATGATGACTAAAAAGGATTTAAAAGAATTGAAAGGTACTATAAATTAGAAGAAGATGCACATTCTTTTTTGGTAGCTCAATCATAGAAAGTCCAAAGTTAAACATATTTTGCTTGGAACAATTCTTTGGTGGATGACATTTTTAAAATTTTTCTATAATGCATGTGAGTGAGAACAAAATATGTTGAAAAAACTTAGATGGGTCCGTAGAAATAGATTTGCTCTTAGAAGCGAGAAACAGTAATATGAACATGTCGCAGGAGATGTACGGAAATATTAGAGTACGCAGATGCCGAATTCAGATGAGCTGTAACCCTATTTTTTAGGTGATTGGGTTAACCCCACAAATTTAACACAAACTAAACCAAAAAAATAAAATTAAATAGTCCAAATTATTAGAAAGTAGTAGAATAAGCAACCTAAATGGGAAAGATTTTAAAGTAAATGATAAACATAAAGGAAAGTTAATATTAAACCTAAATTGAATAGGGACATACATATGAAACATCAAGTCTTGTCTTTTTTACCCAACACGTGGTTGCTTGTGTGTAAAACATATTGATTGTGATGAGTTGTAATGGCACCGAGTACTGAAATTAGGGTGCGTGGGAAAGAGAATTATGGAATACGAAGAGATTGATGAACAAGTGGAGGCAAGGCATGCATGAAAACACTTCTTTGTGATTCATCGTTTCTGCAAAGGATGTAATGTTGCGATTGCTCTATTAAAGATTGGAAAGGCATAGCACCAAAGAAGAGCTTCAAATTCCATAATCCAAAAGTCTATGGATCAAGACTTCTGGGGCATTTCTTTTTTGTCTTATTAATTCTATAATTCTAGGGTATTATCCCTTGAAAATCTAATTTAAAATAATTATTAATTCCACCTCTTTTTTAAGTTTAAATTTACTTTAATTTTAAAAAATTAAGTTTATTTGGACCAAATTAATTATGAACTTCATATTTTATCAATATTATAGAAATATTAATTAATGAAAATGTGCGTATCTTAACCCATACTCGAAGATTTGAATCTCTAATCCAACTGGTCGAATTTAAAAAAAAAATAATAATAATAATAAAATATATGGATATTAATTTCTTGTGTGTCAATTTCATTTCGTTTTTTATTTGTATTTTAATTTATTAGTCGTAATGGTCCCTAACGAAAATAACTGGTACGAACCGTTATAGCATTTTCATCGATAGTTGACATGTATATTCATTGTTCAATAATTTATTTAACGCGTAAAGAAAAATATAATATGAAACTTATACCAATATATATAATTTAACCTAAACACAATTTTTTAATTATAATTTGTACTATTGAAATTTAAGTTGAGTGATTAACATGCAAAACTACCATATTTGAATAGTTGAAGAGAAATTATTGGTAGAATTAATATGGCTTTTTTTGGGATTGATTAATTATGAACAATAAAGGAAATATAATGTTTTTGAATGGATCAAATCTTGAAGGTTTGACTTTATATGGTTGCAAGTGGGGAACAAAGTTTAAATTACGAGTCAAAAAAAGGAAGAAATAAAAGTCGTTAAATTGACTAATTTATGTTTTTATATTTTATTATAAGATATATTGGTTGACGAAGTTGTTGGATGTGTGACACACCTCTATTGCCTTGTCCATTAGTTTGACTTTTTTTTTTTTTTAAGTAAATTGTCTTGGAGTGATGCCTTCCAATTTTTCTAAGTTCATCCTTTTTTTTATATAATATTTTAATTACAAACTCTCTAATTTCGATTTAAAATATTAAAATTTTATATCGGTGAGACAATAAATAGTTTTCCATCAATCAAATCATACTAGTTGATTATTTTTTGTCCTTTCGATTAATTATTCAAATCATACTATGGACTTACATATTCAATTTAAAAATAAGAAATAAAAAGTACCATCAACGTGAGAAAAGAAACACTAACATGAATTTCAGTACCAAGATGAGAACCCTGAACTACCTATGAAAAAAAATGATGCATACTACTATCATAACTTAGCTTCCATGGCCATTCCAAAATCACTATTATACGTGCAGGGGCGTTTTACCTTTACCTAAAATATAAGGGTAACCTTTACCTAAAATACAAGGGTAATATGTGGGTTGAATATTTTAAGAAATACTCGATAAGTAACTCTATTGTTGGAGTGAGATAATGCAAACACATACATACATGACGAAACATATCCTTTAAAACAACATAGCATGACATTGAGCTCTTTCCAGTCTAGGCAGGGTTGGATTTGTGGTATTTTCCAACACACAGCCTACGCACGCGCACATCGACTCACAAAGGCGAACTAGTATACATACCCCTAAGGCTTGACTCATTGGTTAAATGTGCTGACGCGTCGCTCAACACACGGAGGGAAAGACTCACATGATATCATGACAAACATAAATATCGAAAATACACATATGTACTAACATAACATAATGGAGAAGTATCACGATGCACATGAGATACATAAATGCATGAGGTCCTATGGCTTAAAATCTTAACATAGAGTAAGATTCATTTTATTTTTTCTTTTATTCATGTCGTAGTACACATATGAGACATGTATGCATAG